CAGGCCCTGTCCCGCGGGGGACTGGGCAGGGGGGCTCGCCGGGCCTGCCAGGGACCCCCGGCCTTGCTGGCAAATGGCAGCAGCGAGGCGGAGGGAAGCGGCCGGGCGGCCTTTTAGAAAAGGCGGTGGGGAACTTGGTGGTCATTTAAACGTCCCTCAAAGCAAGCAAAGCCGCCGCGGGTACAGCTCGGCAGAGCGCCCTGGGACAGGGCGTAGACCTCCCTCTCTCCTTCCCAGTTCCTGAGGCGACAGCAGGTTCTCCAGCTGTACAGGAAGATCCTGCGGGCTATTCGCGAGGTCCCTGCTGAGGCAGACCGCAACTATTTAAAGGACTGGGCCAGGGATGAGTTCAGGAGAAATAAAGATGCTACCGAAGAGGTGAGGATCGGGAACCCGCAAGGCGGAGCGCAGCTGTCGAGCATGGTCGGTGGGCTGAGGTGTACTCTGTCACCGGGTTTGGTTTTGTAGGTGTCACTTCTGGACTGGTAAGGGGTCTCCTGTTACTGGTTTCTCTTCAGGAGCATTTGCGCATTTGTGTGAAGAAATAATTCAGCCCCTCTAAATATTATCCCCCTCTGTTGGCACTAGTCATGTTTCTCTGATTTCCAGAGAATAATCTGGAATTAAAAAGCTAAAAACCAAACAAATCCTGCTTACTCAAACTACAAATCAGAAAAATTGTATTGAATAATACGATAGGTACCAAACTTCTTAGTGGTCAAGCTTTCTATAGCTTCTTTTTTTTCAGCTTTGATTTCAACTATATTCAGGCTGAACAAAACCAAATTGGATGGTTGTGGATGTGAAGCGTGTATGAAATGCAGAAACCTTTACACTTCTTGTATATACGTCTCCTGTCCTCTGCTAAGTTGGTCCTTTCTTTAGCCAGGGGTCAAGGAATTAGTGGCTGAATTATGCAGACAAAACATTACGGTACTTAGATAAAAATAATGTTGAGAGAAACATCCACTTGCTCTGTAAAACACCTGTCTTCGTAATGCCCATGTGCAGTTGTCACTGCTTACTTGCAAAGGCGGCAGACACAGAGGTGTAAAGAAAACATCATTAGGAGTTTGAACCCAGTTCAAAACTGAGTTTTAAAAGCAAAAAATATTAGTCCCCAAACACATCATTAGGTATTAGAGAAAATTCATTTATTCACCTGTTTTTTAACCATCTCAGTGACTGTAGCATTACTTCACACAAAGAAATGGATCACAACTGGTAAGAATTGTGTAATTGTAATGTGTTAAAGTCTGCGTGCTTGTGTGAAACCTGTGCTGTACAGATGTTCAGTTCAGTAGGACTCTGTCTTGTTTTACAGGATGCAATCAGGATGATGATTACTCAAGGCAACATGCAACTTCAGGAACTTCAAAGAACACTTAAACTGGCAAAATCCTGATCTTAAGTCTGTTGACAGCTGGACTTTCATCTGCTGTGAACACAGTATTTTTTCCAGAATGTGGTTATAGTAGTGGCCTTTGCTGACAACCCGGTAATGTTTGAAGGTGGAATCTACCACAGGGTGGTTTTTGTTTGTTTGTTTTTTCACCTTCCTCTTCTTGGTTTGGTTACCCTCCTGTGTGGAAATCACTTAAACACAAAGGACTTCAAAGCACTGAATGGATGATGTAGCATGTGCTGTGGGAAAAGCAGAAAGCTCCAAAAATGACAACAGCAGTGTTTTGCGAGGGAAATGGAAAATAAATATAAGCCAGATTACTTTGTCTGTTTTCTGTTGTGGCAACTTGTAAGTTGGTAACATTCATAGTGGCAACAGCTCTTTATGTACTGTGGCAAGGATTTTTACCAAAATTTGTGATAAATAAATGGGCCCAAAGCAAACATGATAAAATGTTAAGAAAATGTTTTGTATGTAGATGTTGATTTTCGGTTACAGCTGAAGTAAAACTTAATATGGGATGTCTTTATATAAGAAAATGAGAGATTTTAGGCCCAGAAATGGGTATTGCCAAGTTAACAGGAAGTACTTTCAAGTTAATATTTGAAAGTCAATATAGAGTAGAATTACTAATAGGAAATACTACCTGTGAATGTTGTGGTCTCTTTTTCCAAATGTTATATTACTCTACTTTTATTTCTTAGTGTGGAAACGTTCTTACCTTCCAACCAAATTGCAGTATGTCTTTTTTTTTCCCCTCATCTAATTTACAAATTAAAATGCCAAAGTGGGTCTGGGATTTTTTCAGCATGAGTCGGTATCTACCAACTGGTTGCAGGGGTTGCTATGGGACTGGTTATCCCATAGCTGCGTGCAGTTTAAGGTGTGGTTTCAAGCGATGCAGGAACCCTTCCCTCTCTCACTCCGCTGCTGCAGGTCAGGTATGGAGCCACCTCCCCGAGCAGGCTTTCTGCTGTGCCGCTGAGCTGGACGGCCTCGGAGCCAGCCTGGTCAGTGCCACCGCTGGCTCACGGGAAGGGACAGGGCAGCATTCCCCCTCCTGCTACAGGAGGGAAGAACCCACTCGGGAGTAGGACGTATGCTTCTCGCTGGAGCCAAAAAAAGGGTCTGCAAAGCTACGTACTTCAGCAAAGCTGCTTTGCTAAAAGCTGCTGCTTAACAAGAAAGAATGCCATTTTTGTGAGTTTTTTTTCCTAATTCTTTTTCTGAAAGTCATTGTAGATCCTTTCCTATGATGTTTGTTTAGCTCTGCAGTAAGGGATGCGGCCCAGGCAACCAGTGAGGCTGCAAGAGAATTCAGGTTTCTATAGACAGAAGCCTTTGAGCTTCTAATCGTTTATGGAAAAAGATGTATGTCTAAACATTTAGTTAAAAATCTAAATTTTGTTGTGAGTTTCTGGTAGAACACACTGACAGAACATTAGTGTGTTGGGGATTGATTTTCATGTTACCAGAAAATGCTGTTTAGAAAGGAATTTTGACTAAATGAAGCCATAATCAATATTGGCTTGTTCTCACATGTAGCCTTCCCTTCCCCTTCAGCCAGTGGTTTGATTTCTGCTCCTTAATTAGGAGACTTTACCCTGCTGCCTCATCGCAGCGCATGCCTATTTGGAGCCCCGAGTCTGCGTTATTCCGTTGACTCCGGTTTGTACGTTTCGAGCAATCCAGGAATAGCTCCTGACAGGCACGGCCCTGGACAGCCGCTGACCTCCCGAGTGCTGCTGCCTGTCATCTCCACTGCGCTGTGGGCCTGTCAAGATGAAATTGCCTGCCAGAAGCCTTTAGGAGTCCAAGTGTAGTCTACTAGGGTAAGTAAATTTGCTCCAAGCATGTGCTGCAGAAAAAGGTAAATAATACAGGTATTTTGTAAAGAAGTCCTTCAGCTCTCGTAGTTTTGAAGGAGGGAGGACTACAGCAGGGAGTAGAAAGGAATTAGTGGGAAATGCCTCACTTTATTTTACAGTACACTTGTTGGCTTCAGAAAAACCTCTAAAATCAGTACTCTGCAGCCAAGTTACTGTCTTAAATTATTGTTCCACTGGCTACCTTGGTAGTGCAGTTTGTATGTGAAGCAGATTAGCTAAAGTCATAGCCTTTCTGTTTCCCCGGCACTTGTGCAAGCTCAAGAGCCCGTGTGTGACCAGCTGCACAACTCAGCCCTGTGCCAGGAACTTCCGAAATGGTGGGTGCGTGTGTCAGCTAACAAATGGCAGTCCATCCCTGCAGCCTCCTTCAGGACAGACAGTAGACCCTGTTGCCATGTTTCATAGCCACAAACACAAAACATTCGAAGTTGAAGTCCAATTTTCTGCTCCCTCTTCTGAGGCATTTTGTGAGGGCATTTTGTCCATCTTCTCCAGCTAGAAAACATTACACCACAGACTCCCGAGCAATGCAGACTTCTGAGCAACACTTATTTTAATTTCTTGGCAAAACATTCACTTTATCAAGATGATACAAAACTTAAATAGCATGCTTCTGCATTCCTACAGTAGCTTAAACAAAACTGTAAACATATGAAAGTGTCTATATTAGACTAAGAAGTCAGAACAATAAAACTAGTATTTCCATAACAGCAGATACACTTTTCTTGTCTTGATAGTGCATTAATAGGAACTTTAAAAATATTGTTATATAATACAATTTTCTCTGCTTTATACATCTGCTAAGAAGATGAAAGCTTAATTACTAATTAGTCAATGGTGTCTTCAATACTGTAAAGTATTCTGTATTGATTTCAGGACTCCCCAGTACAGAAAAAATTCTCCTTGGCATAACAATACTATCCTCTGTTTGAATTGGTTTTTAACAGTTGTTCTATCATGACCTGTTAAGTAAACTTACTTACTTTTCTAACAGAATCTGATGGAGCCTTCCCAGAGGTTTAAGGAGGAAACCCTAAAGGGAAGCAGATGCAACGAGGGTAACTGTGCCTCTAGTTTATTCAGAGTCTGTCAGCCTGGACAATGTTGGTCACTGTAAGTTTTGACTTCTAACAAAACACATCCATGAGAACTTTAAAATGTTGTTGAGTTCTATTTTGTGGGACTGCTGGTGAAACCAGTTCTAAGACATGCAGACTCACCAGGGCCCAGCCTCTCTTTTTAGCAATATAAGGGGAAAAAACAGAGAGAGGAATCATTCGGAGGAACAAAGGAAGACAGTGCGGACAAGATGTCTGGGAGAAAATCCTGACTCTGCAGAAAAAGAAACATTTGAGTATAGGGAACCAAGCTTTCACTTCTTTAGATAAAGGACTTTATCAAGCTTCTTCAGAATTCAGCCATTTGCTGCTTGAAGGAAGAGAGATTTATATAAAAACTATACCTAACCAGTAGAAAATGGTTATGGTAAAATATTTGCCATCCATGCCCCAACAAAACTTCTCAGTCAGGTTATACTAGAGTATAGCTGCAACAACTGTGTAACCACAAGTAGCTTTGCAACTGGGACACCATTTAAGAAAAAAGAGAGACATCTAATTTTGCATTTGTTTTAATAATGTAAAACCAAAAGAAAAGCAAAGTGGCAACTGCAGCCACTGTACCTAATGACTCACCTTAGCATCTCACTTGATAGGAGCCTGGCCTCTCCCAGCTAGAAGCTTGCATCTGTCACCTACGCAGCCTTGTAATTTGAGTTGGTTCTGTAGCTTCTCTCCACTGACTAGAGGGAGGCCATGGGGAGTATCTAAAATAGTATCAGTAGCCCTTAATCACTAAGGAATTTCTGTCAAAAGCTCTCAAACATCCTGGATTTATTCCATTATTACATGTGTTTACATGTAGCATACGGTGGAACCCTCCAGCCACACGTGACCTATGTGGAAATAAGGAAATTCCCTTTTCAGAAAGCAATTTTGGTTTCTAATGCAGTTTGTTTTCAAGCAGCACCTGGAAATTGAGAGTGCAATATGTAACGGACTTTTGGAAATAACAAAGAAAGGATCTAATCTGCAGCATCTCGTCATCGGTACAGTCTGCATATGAATTCTCCTCGGATCTGGAGTTTCCCAAGTTATTTCTACTCCTGAAAAAAATCATTTTGTTTGGATGTAACAGGGACTACAAATGTATATATCTAACCATACTCCAGATGCCTGTACAGCAGGTTCCAAAGATGGGTCCCATTGCTTGTCTTTACCTGCTCGGTAGATGCTAGCTGTCTTTCTGCACTTTAGTCCTTAATTTGCTGAGCTCCTCTTCTAAGCTTTTAATATGTTCCTTGAGCGCAGCTTTGTCTTGCTGTGCTTTCTGATTAGCTTGGCACCGGGCTTCTTCTATCTTCCGTTCATACCACTTCTCCATCTGTGTGGAAACAGCCTCGAAGAAGTACTGTGTTATCTCCAGGGCCTGGGAGGTGTCTCTGAGTGGAGGGGCAGGTGGCTGTCCCGCGGGCAGGGCGGAGGGCTGCTGCTCCTGGCTCTGATGTGCCCCGGCATGGTGCAGAGCTTTGTGCCTTGACTGCCCGCTTTTGCTGGATTTCTTCGTCTGAGTTCCTTTGTCAATGAAGTAGCTGCTCTGTGGTTCACTCTTTGCAGGTTCAGTCAGGGGCTGCAAAGCAGCTTGAACCTTAACGTGTCTTAATTTGGATCCCAAAAGTTCGGAGGAGGGCAGGTCCTGCTGGAACCTGTGGAACGTGCTGGCACTAACAGCTTTGTCCTTTGGCCTCACATCTTGAGCAGGGGCAGAAGAAACTGGTCCGCCAATGATTAACTGTTGCTCTGTACCTACAGAATAAAATATATACATATGTATTTAGAAAAGCTCTGGGCATTTATTTTAGCATTCAGAAAAGGCATCTTCACAGTCAGGTGGTACAATAAAAAGACATTAAAAGAGAAAAGCTGGCTCAGGCAGAGAGGCACTGCATTGCGGCTGTGGGACTACTGACTGACAATCAAAGGACTTCACCAGAAGAACATGTAACAGAGATGGGGCTAGATTGCCAAAGTAGTTTATGTCTGCTGATATTTA